CGAGGATATGGTAAGAGAGGAGTATAAGGTGGGGCAAATAGCTATCAGGGAAAATGGGGGGGGGGGGGAATAATGCAAAGTAACAAATGGGGTGTCGAGGGCATCAAGACAGACACAGAACTCTTTGGAGAAAGGGGCAGGGATAGAGGGAGGATCGGCAACTTGGAAGGGAGGAGGTTAGGGAAGGGCTTGGGAAAATTGGCAACTGGGAAAGGGAGGGGATTAGGGAGGGGAACAGGGAGCAAACATGGATTCAAAGATGAGCACACCATAACAGTCCAATCAGTTTCTTAGATTGTGTCTGGAGCTCAGGCTCATGCCACACTGACTCTGCTGTTTCCTGAGCCTGCTTGAATTCACAGCATCACTTGTAATATATTCTCCAGGATTTGTTAAGCTCTTTGTAGATACTTTCAGTGCAACCACTTGTGTGTTTAATACTTCCTACTCATACTTGAGAGGAGAAGTATTTCTCTGTCAATGTAGAAATGTTCACACATTCACCATATTAACACCTGATCCTGCAGGCTGCACCTGACCTCCTCTAATCTTTAATCGTGCATCTTGGTAGAAATGTGCTTTACATGCTGACTCTTAAGCCATGAATCTAAAGAAAGCTAACTCTTCAGGAACTGTTCTTCCATGCACTGACACATAGTCTGGAGAGAACTGAAGCTCCTCTTTTGTTTTATTCCTCTTTCTATTTGGAGTTTATCTGCTGTGCTGCAAGACGCTGCCTCAAATGAACATCAGCTTCATACAAATCAATGAAACTCATGATGGGAGTTTCTTCTATCAATTAACCAGATTGCAGGTGGGATGGGAATTCCTGGATGTACAGACTCAGTTCCCAGCCACCCCCTCTGCTTTCCCCATCTGCCCAAAAGTGATCCATATGAGCCAGCCCAGTACGAAGAAGATCTAATGGCTAAAAAATGGGATTCTTTTGCCCACGGGAGAATATGTGGTTGTAGTTTAGCAACAGTAGCTTTTAAAGGCTACAAATTACAGTTAACAAAATAAATTTCTCCAGAGAAGAAGAAGGATGGCAGAAGCAGTTTGGATTTAGCAAAATTGGAGGTGAACTGCCCTGGATCCAGTACCTAAATCACTCAGTCTCTTTAGCTAATGGAGGGTGCTTCTTGGCCCTTTAATAACTATCTCAGCAGTGAGTCAATGGTAGGTTTTGGAGAGTACTATGATGGGCTGGACTAGATTTAATCTTTGGTTAAATACTTCATACAGAGCCAGGTGAGTGTTGATGTTCCAGGTTGCCTTCAATGTGCACACCATGAGTTGTAGCAAATCAGTGCAAGTGTTCTAGACCTTAGTGAAAATTCCTTGAATTTGCAGTTCAGCCTGTCAGAGGCTTTTTCATCAGTGAATTCTATGCTGGAATGAAGGGTGGGCAGGGGAGAAATGCAGTGTTAGTTGAAGCATTCTTTCCTTCCAGCTGATAATTTATCTGCAATATTTTAATTCTAAATCGCCATTTTGCAGGAAGACAAAGCTTGAGAAGTCAAAAGGAGGTTTCCTTTCCTCCTCATTCTTGTCTTCTGCTCATGGCCAAATCAGCACTGCTGATGGTGACAGCAAAGCTGGAAGAGGAGCCAAGGGCAGAGGGCCAGGAACTGACAAAACTGAGCCACCTGCTCTCCTCCCACCTTGTTTGCTCTTGTGAAATGGCTGCTGCTGCAATGGAGACTGTCACTTGTTTGCAAAGTTTGCAAGTGTGAGAAAGGGAAACAGTGTGCCTGGTGTGTGTTCACATATGCGTGCGTAATACAGCTCATTTAGAGCAGGATAGATAGAAGATTCATCTGACCAGCCTATTTTTTTTCTTTTCCTAGAACTCGGTGTAATTCCAAGTATTTCTCTTCACTTTAAATCCTGCTTGCTTTGGGGAAGGGAGCACAGCACCAGTGTGATGCACAATTGTCTTGTTTAGACTGGGAATTCCTCACTGGAGAAGCTCCTCAGGACAAAGAGGAGAGCTCTGTCTGTGCCTTTTATTGTTGTGCCAGTAATGCTCTGGGCAGTATTCCCCAGCACTGATGTAAACTGGGAGCCCTGTTTTGCAACAAATCCTACCAAGAGTGTATCTTGTGGGGCCTACAGAGTGCTGGATCACCATACAAAGATGTGTTCTATGAAGACCTTAACTTGAGCTAGATTTAATCTGCTATCTGGATGCTCCTAGGATGCTGCAGTGTGTCCTCCTGAGCTGCTTGAAAGTGCCTGCACATTACCCAGGCAGAGGGCAGGGTTTGGCATTGTCTTCCATGACCCAGTTAGTTTGCACTGACTGAATCCACCAGGATCTGAGTGCTCCCAGTGGCCTTTCACCTTGTGAGGAACGACCTCTGCCTTAGCGACTCTAAACGCATGCCTAAAATGAATATAATTCCTGTCCTTATTCCTATATCCAGCAGGCAAATACCAAGAAATCCTGACTCAATAAAATAATTCGCAGTCTCTAAATTACTCCCATAAAGCGAATTTAACCAGCTGGGAGAGTTCTTCAAATAGTTGCAATTCAGGCTTGGCACAGAACGAACTGTTCTTATAGTGAAGAATTAAAGAAATTTCCATTACTTTCTGTGGGATTTCAGAGGTCACTTTGGGGCTGTGTAGGAAGGAAAAAGTTTGAAGCTAAGCCAGTGACTTCCAGCAGAAGTGTGGTGGTGATCGGTTTATTTCCATGTGCACAAGAGTAGTGGTTTCGGGTTTCTTTTTCCCTTTTTTTCACATATTTTCTGCTCCCTATAAATCATCGCTTTATGTAGGCTTAGATCCCCTTGCCACAGAAGAGTGTTTTTCAGACTCTCATGCCATAGACCAAGTGCATCTTTTTGTATTTGATAATTCAACTTTTTTGTTTCTCTTCCTTTAGCTTTTTAGCCAGTCAAGCTCTCAGCCATTTGTTTGGGGTCTGAAGAGATGACAGAATCCGTTGCCCTCGCGCACAAGCGTGTCGGCAGCTTGCACTAGTGCTCCCTGTGGATAAATGCTTCACCTGGGAATATAAAATGCAGGAGCTGCTGCTTCTGCTCTTCAGCTGCTGGCAGATGGAGTTGAGGATCATCTGGTGATCTGAGCGCAGTGGATGATGCGCAGTGTAGTGTTAAATCACCGCTTTGATGTGAAATTTTTGTTGCCCTGGTCTCTCCTCCACATCATCTGCCATGTGTAGTATACAATGAAGCAGTGTGGGTTTGTTTGCTTGTTTTTCTTTGCTGCAAGAAGCTGTTGCCAACCAAAACTTGTGGTTTCTTTGCTCCCTGGGTTTCTCCTCAAAGCCGTTTGGAGTGGTATTTTTATTCTGACAGTGTTTTAAGCTCACCCATGGGTGAGCAGTAGTAAAGGCAGTAGTTGTAGTGGGTCAGCACTGAACATCTGACACTCCTCCATGCACTGCCTGGGCTATTAAAATGTGCTAAATTTTTGCACTGGGGATGGAAGTCAGAGCTTCAGGACATGATTCAAAGGAACTACCTGTCCCTATTGTAAGAGTAGCAACTTAGAGCTGCCAGAACTTTCCCAGCCTGTCTTTTTTTAATCAGATGTGCTCATCTAAGTCCAAGAAAACCACCAAGCTGTCCAGATTTAAAGGAAGAAATATCTGTCTTCCCTCTCATTAAGGAGCTTTTTGCAAGTGGTCTCAACACTGAGACAAAGGGGAGCTGCTCCGTTCTTGGCAGAGCTGACTGTCATAGACACATAAAGGAGAAGGGGTAAATAGCTGTGAGAAGCATGTTGATTTTTTCTAAAAATCTGGGTATTTTTAGCTTCATATAGCACAAATGCCGTCAGTGTGTGAGTGGTCCTTGCTAGGTCGGTACCAGTGATGGAGTGATCCAAGTCAGGGTATGTATCAGCTTTGGGTATTATCCGCTGATGAAGAGGCAGGGCAGTTGCTCTTAATCCAAGCAGAATAATGTGCCTGAGACCTTAATTCTCTCTGGGAGACAAACGGAGATGCCTTAGTGCCAGGCGTATTTTGGAGCTGTGCAAATATATGAGGGGGATTTGGTTCCTGAGCTGGGCAGACTGACAGCAGCTTTGCTGGAACCTTTGGAAGTGCTCAAGAGGCACTGGGCAGCGTGTTTTGCTCTAATGTACAAGCTCTGCTTGATAAAAATAACTGATTCTAATTTGGTTGTAAGCGAGGAAAATCCAGTCCATGCTGGAGGTGCGGGATTCCAGAGCAGGAGCAGGGCGGGCCCCTCGGTGGGGCTGTGCTGGGCTCCTGGGGGCGTTTCTTGTTGACCAAGCTACCTCAATTGTCGCTTTCTTGGCTTGCCACAGACTGAGGCAGCATCTGTTCGATTACGAATAGCCTTATGCTTAAAAAAATGAAGACTATAATACCAGCATAAAAAACCCCCAACCCTCCCCGCCACCTTTCTTTATATACTCCTCCTTGCTTCTTCACCCCGGGTTTCCCTTCAGAGCTGCGCCACCACTTTCTCTGGGAGGCAGCGAACGGTATTTAAAATTTAGGTCACGGAGGGAGGGGGAGTGGCGCTACCGCCCGCGGTACCGGCGGGCAGGCCCCTTCTTGTCCCCTTCCTATTGGAGCCGTGCGGCGCCAAATTATCTCCCCCCCGCCACCATCACCTTAGCGGGGAGGGTGTGGCGGTGGCAGGAGCGGGTGGCAGTCCCGCTGTTTCAGCCTCTCGCTGCCGGGTGTCGCCGTGGCGGGATCAGGAGGGCGCTCCGGGCGCTCCCTCCGGGCCGCCCGCGCGAGGGAACGGGAGAGAACGGGATGAGCTGAGCCAGGAGGGGGCGCACGCTCCCCCGCCCGCGCTGCCGGCCGCGGTTTCCCCGCAGCCAATGGCGAGGCGGCGCTGGCGTCCCGCCCCTCGCCTCCGGCCAATGAGAACTTACTACAGTGTGGTGGGGGGGGCAGAGCCGCGGGCGGGCGGCGGCGGGCGCGGAGCGGCGGGCGCGGAGCGGCGAGGGACGGAGACAGAGCGGCTGGCCGGGCACGGCGCGGCCCGGGGTGCCGCACCGCAGCGGGGGCTCTGCGGGGCCCGCTGTGAGGCCGGCGGGCGCCGCGCGCAGGGGCGGCCGGGTAAGTGCGCGCGGGAGCGTGCGCGTGGCCTTTGCGCGGCGGGTCCGTGTCCGCAAGCGGCGGGTCGGTGCGCGCCCGCGGTCTCTGTGCGGGCGAGCACGTGTATGTGCACGTGTGTGGTTGTGCGCTGTGTGTGAGTGCGTGTGCTCATCTGCGTAAGGTGCATCTGCACCGCGAGTGTGTGCGGTTGGTGTGCCTGTGTGTGTAAAGGGTGCGTGGGATATTGGAGCGTGCACGCGTGGTCTGCACAAGCACCCTGTGTGTGTAGTTGGTATCGGGGGTGTGTGGTGTGACTGCTGTGAGCTCTGCGTGTGAGCACTGCATGTATACGCAGTGCGTGTGCAAGCTGTGTGTGTGTGCACCGTGTGTCTCTGCACACCATGTGAGTGTGCCCCATGCGTATGTATGTACTACGCGTGTGTGTGCAGCGTGTCAATATTTGCCCTGTGTGTATACAGTGTGTGTTCGCAGTGGCCGAATCTAGTGCATCTGTGTGCGTACAGTGTGTGTGTGCGCGACTGGTGTGCCACCGCTCCGTGGGGCTCTGTGTGACGGAGTACTGGAAGTCAAAAGGCGGAGGCTCAGCCCGAGACAGATTCTGCACGAGGCAAGAAATAGGGATAGCAGGATTGGGACACACAGCTCAGGAGAGCTGGCACCCAGTGTCTCCCTTTGCTGGGCCGAGCTGGCATCCCCAGCTCTGCCCCGAGTCCATTGTGCAGGAGGAGGAAGGAGATAAGGTGGGGAAGGGCTTAGGGCTCCACGGAGCGATGGCTGTTCACCAACCCGTGGGACAAATGTAAATGCTGTGGTCTGGTAAGCGCTCTTTGCTGTCCGAGCACGCTGCTTTCCTCTGAATTCCAGCTCAAGAAAACACCTTGGCCCACTGGGAAGTGATGCTCCTACTGGATTTTCCACCAAGGCATGTTTTTATTTCCTATCTCCAGCAAGGCACCGTTTGTGATGAAAATTACTCCAGAAGGTCTGGAATGAGTTAAAATCCACTTCGACCACCTCTGAGTGCTGCAGCTGCAAGTCTCCCAAGTCCCCACTTCCCTATCTTTTGGGGAAAAGGAACTTGTTCACCCTTGCTGCACTGGTTTGAGGAAGCTGGTTTTGGGCAGGGTCTGGCAGCATTTCCCTCTGTGGCTGTGCAAATGGTAATTCAAGAATTGCATGATGAAGGTAAAATTTCTCAGAGATTGTCCAGTTTCTGGAGTAGGTGCTATGTTGGTTCAGGTATAATTTCATGTGTTAATTAAGATACTGGACAAGCAAAGCAAAATAGGTCCTTTCCAATCCAAACTATTCCATGAAAATCTAATTTTTGAACAGTACCACAAACCCCGTTTTTGCCTATCCTTGCTCTTTCCAGTTAGGATTTGAAGGCTTTTCAAACATGCTGGATTTTGCTTGCCTCAGTTTGCTAAATCTGGATGGATGGTCTTTGAATTAGTAATTCTTATTCAAAGTTGAGATATGTAAAAATAATCCCTGTAAGATCTCGGGGGCAGAGAATATGGTGGGTCTGAATGAGGGATGAGGAGGGAATCTGCCGTGGCTGCTGCTACTGCTGTGATGCCGTGGAGTGCAATTCCTTTCACAGTTGGCTAACTCTTGTGTTGCTGCCCCAGGATCTGCTCCCTTTGCTTCAAAGGTTGTTTTGTGGAGATCCAAAGTAGGTTGTTTTTCTCTTTTAATGGCTGGTCCAGCAATATTTTTAATGAATTGAAGGTTTTCCTGCAGCATTGTGGTGGTTGATAAGGATTGTGTGTCACATGTCAGTGATGCTGATAGTCTTGATGTTTATATTTTACATAATCTTGCATCTTCAGTTGCACTTCTATGGCAATTTTGAGCATTGGGTGGGATCTAAAAGGCAGTGTATATCTCTGCTGTCATGGCCTTAATAAAGAAGGTGAGGATTTTATAGGATTCTCATGGACAAGCATAATCTGCTGCAGAAGATAAATATCAAGATAAACATAGTGCTCACGCTCCTTACCTTGAAAACTCAATTAGAGCCTTACGAAACGGAGAGAAGGATGATTTTTTTTCCTAATATAAACTCATTCATTATTTCCTATATCAATTTAGATGACGTGAACAGGAATTACCTGTGTTTTCATCTGATCTCACAATTGCAAATTAAACAAGTAATCTTATAAAAAGCAAAGCATTTAATGGGAAAGCAGCAGTCCTGAGGGGTAAGGACTCCTCTTGGCCTGTTTCCAAACACTGTATGTTCCTAAAGCCTATAAATGCTTCAGGGCAATGATACTCCAAACCTACAGCTCCTGACTCCAGATCTATCTCCCTGCCACGTGCCTATATGCTCTGTATCAGCATCCGTGGTGTTTTTCTTTTGACATCCTTTGATTTTTGGAAAGTGGTAAAACAATGTCTCTCCTACTGCCCCATTTACTGCTTGTTGAGCAGATATTTGAATGAATGGGACATAGGCTGGCAAGGATGTGGCTTATTTAGTGAGCAACCACCTCTACAAATTCATTTAGTAGAGATCCAAGTGTTGCTCTGCCAGGGTAGCTTGCTGGGGTGTTGGGATGCTCCATGTGCTTTGATACATTGATAAATGGATGATGATGATAATGAGGTTGTGAATGTGGCATGTTACATGCTGGAATAAAGTTGGGTATACAGAAGTGTTGCTGATGGAAGGCAGTGACTCTGTACTAGGTTTTCACCAGCAGTTACTTGGCATCTCAAAGGAATCCTGGATTTTTGGGGTCAGCAGGTGAACCTCAGGCTCTTCATCCTTGGATGTTCAGTGGAAGTGTTGGCTGAGTATCCACAGCATCTGATTTCTTCTCAAACATCTTTCCTTGTGTTCCCAAATGAGAGTTATATGCCTAGAGCCTCTTCATTTGGGGGAACTGTGACAGTACCTGTGTTACTGCAGGTGGATTTTTCTTCTGCCTCTTACTCCCATATTTCACCTATTTCTTGGAAAAGCCCTGGAAATTGGTAATGCTCAGAGATCTTGTGTCCATGTCGAGTGGGAAGGCTCTGGGCTCTCCCCACCTGACCAGGCCAGGGATCCCTGCTCTTAGTGGGAGCTTCCCACCCCTCTGTGAATGGAGGCATGTGTGGGTGAAGCTGCAGTGGGGAGGTAGAGCTGAGCTGTACTCTGTGCCACACTGGGTCAGTGTCTGAACTTGCTGGAGCTGCTTTTACATTACTGGGAAGCTGTGATGAATCTAAGGGCTTTAATAGGACAGTGTGAGGGTCCCTGCAGTGGCCCTATGGATGCAAATAATTTCCCATCATAAACCTTTCTTTGTACTTTCAAGCGCCACTGCAGTCCTGTCGGCTTCCTTCTAACTTCTGTGCAGTTTTCCTAGAGCTTTAAGGAATAGCAGATACTCGGGTTGTTCAGGCTTGGAGCTGTGTTTCTTGCAGTTGTGTATTTCTCTGGGGAAGTTCAATATAAAGCTTTGCATCAGGAGTAGAAGTTGCAGTCTGGGTTTGGGGATCTTTTGCAATGATTATTCTTTCTTGGTACTTGGTTTTTGCTGTAATCTTGTGTAGATTAAGCAGAGAATGATGCGTAAAGATTTCCATTTGTATGTCTTATTTACTACTGTTTTGATCAGTAGTTTCTTAAATTGCAAAGAACTGTAGATGTGGCATAGCGGGGATTTATCTTTGTCCATCAGATGGATTAGGTAGGAATGTTTATGGCTTGTACTTAATCCAGATTAATATTATTAGTTTCTTTATGTTCAGTCAGTTGTTTATGCTTGTTTTCTGTTTATGTGAATTTTTACTTGTGTAATGCTGCAAACATTGTGTATTAAAAGACAGTGCTTTTAATTTGTCCATGTAGATGGACTAAACCTTTTTCTCTCTGTCTGTCTCTCTCTCTCGCTCTCTCTCTCTCTCTCTGTCTCTCTTCTTTTCTTTTTTTAAATTAAGCACTTCCACAGAGAGGCAAATTGTATGGGTTTTGGGGGTGTGTCAAGCAATTGTATTCTTTCAGGGCGTGCTCCTCCAGACCCTGCTGCATTTCTGATCTGGGATTTTTAAACACATTCCCATGCCAGCTTGCTTTAGCTGCTGTGCTCAGAGCAAATGTTGATAGCAGTGGTTTGTAATTTATAATTTATAAAGTCCTACAGCACTTGAACTCTGGTGCTTTTGGAGGGGACTAAGAATTTTGTATCTCCCTGATCTCAATGCAGAGCCTAAAAGATGTAGGAAGATGAGAAGCACAGGGGAGTGTTTAGTCTTGCAGGCAGTGGGAGAGCTTGATGGCTGCCTGTTTGCATAGCCACGGCCACAGCCACAGTTTTGGGTGCTTCCCTTCCACATGTGTGTTTTTGGGGAGCAGGCCAGTCCCTCTGCTGGTGAGGGTGAATGCCATGGCTTTCAGACTGGGTCACATGAAGGTATAACTCTCTGTGGCTGCATCAGGAAACCTGGAGCCCAGACCTGGGCTGGATCCTTTGCTCTGTCAAAATTGGGTCCTTACAGGATCAGCTCAGCCTGAGATGTAACCACAGCAAAACATGCCGTGGCTGGAGCCTGGGGATGGGAGTATGCTCTGCAAGCAGTGGAAGAATTGGCCTCGTTAGCTATTTCTGTGAAAACCACAATTCCTTTGAACCCTCCAGTCACTGGTGGTAGGCTGATTATTCTGCTCCTTCCCCACCCCATGGAATGTGTGTGTGTGAGAAAGATAACGAAGAGCTTTTAGTTAAATAAATAACTAAGCTGCTCACATGGCTTTACAGTAGAATTGCAGAGCCAAAGCCTTGGAAGTGGAAGATGGTGTGTGCTGCTGCTGGTCCCACAGCATCTCCTTGCCTTCCCATGCTGGTGTGGAGCATAATTTCACATGGACTTTTCACTCCTAGAGCCTGTGTATCGCTGAATTTGAGAGCAGGCAGGGTGTAAGTGGGGACAGTCCCACCCCATTGTGTCCAGGGCTCCAGGCTGTATTTATTCCCTGTTATTCAAACAGGGAATTACTCTGCTCT